TTACCATAAGTTTCTTATTCTTTTTGTTTAAAATTTTATAGCTTGTTTTTTACCATAAGTTTCTTATTCTTCAATATAATCCAGATTCAATGGAGTGAATCCAGATTCACTGGAGTGAATCCAGATTCACTGGAGTGAATCCAGATTCACTGGAGTGAATCCAGATTCACTCCAGCGAAAGCTTGGATGGTTAGGATGGTTTTTAATGAATTGTTGAAGAAATAAATGCATGTGCTGTAATTTCGAAGAAATAAACGCATGAGTGAATCTAGATTCACTGCAGTGAATCCAGATTCAGTTATGTGAGGTGTTTGTTTTTTACCATAAAAATCGTAACTTTTTGCTGTAAAATGTGAAATCTTATAATGGTTTAAGATTTTATAGCTTGTTTTTTACCATAAGTTTCTTATTCTTTTTGTTTTTTATTTTTGCAGATTTGCTATTGTTTGATAACGAGTTTCAGTCCACTGAATCTGGATTCAATTCACTGAATCTAGATCCACTCCAATGAATCGAGCTTCAATATAATCCAGATTCAATGGAGTGAATCCAGATTCACTCCAGCGAAAGCTTGGATAGTTAGGATGATTTTTAATGAATTGTTGTTGTGTTCTTCATGCGAAGATGGAAGATCAAAGCTTGATAGAAAATGGAAGTGAGTTACAGAGAGCAGGAAGTGAGTTAGAGAGAGAAATGGGGAAATGGAGAACCCAATAGAGAAGCATTAATGTTGCCAGCCACCATTAATGTAGTGAATTGTTCCAATTTTACCCTTTTCACATTAATGATGTGTATTAAATTTGTCTATATTTACAATTCTACCATTGAAATGTAGGGCATTGGATTAGATAGATTGGAGGGTTAGGATTGGTTTTTAGTTCTCTAGGTTTTTATTAGAACCTCTCCCTATATATATACACACACACACACACACACACACACACACACACACACAGAGACACACACACACACACACACACACACACACACACACACACACACACACACACACACACACACACACACACACACACACACACACACACACACACACACACACACACACACACACACACACACACACACACACACACACACACACACACACACACACACACACACACACACACACACACACACACACACACACACACACACACACACACACACACACACACACACACACACACACACACACACACACACACACACACACACACACACACACACACACACACACACACACACACACACACACACACACACACACACACACACACACACACACACACACACACACACACACACACACACACACACACACACACACACACACACACACACACACACACACACACACACACACACACACACACACACACACACACACACACACACACACACACACACACACACACACACACACACACACACACACACACACACACACACACACACACACACACACACACACACACACACACACACACACACACACACACACACACACACACACACACACACACACACACACACACACACACACACACACACACACACACACACACACACACACACACACACACACACACACACACACACACACACACACACACACACACACACACACACACACACACACACACACACACACACACACACACACACACACACACACACACACACACACACACACACACACACACACACACACACACACACACACACACACACACACACACACACACACACACACACACACACACACACACACACACACACACACACACACACACACACACACACACACACACACACACACACACACACACACACACACACACACACACACACACACACACACACACACACACACACACACACACACACACACACACACACACACACACACACACACACACACACACACACACACACACACACACACACACACACACACACACACACACACACACACACACACACACACACACACACACACACACACACACACACACACACACACACACACACACACACACACACACACACACACACACACACACACACACACACACACACACACACACACACACACACACACACACACACACACACACACACACACACACACACACACACACACACACACACACACACACACACACACACACACACACACACACACACACACACACACACACACACACACACACACACACACACACACACACACACACACACACACACACACACACACACACACACACACACACACACACACACACACACACACACACACACACACACACACACACACACACACACACACACACACACACACACACACACACACACACACACACACACACACACACACACACACACACACACACACACACACACACACACACACACACACACACACACACACACACACACACACACACACACACACACACACACACACACACACACACACACACACACACAAATTGAAACAGTATTTCCAGAAATTCGGCACCGGTTTTGCATTTGGCATATCTTGGACAAAGTTCCGGAGAAGTTGGGTAAATGGGCTTGTAGAACGGAATTTATGAATCCTTTCAAAGAAAATATTTGGGACTCCGAGACTGCTAGCTCTTTTGAAGAGAATTGGGTTTCAATTCTTAAGAAAAATGGATTGGAAACGCATGATTGGCTAAATGATATCTATAAAATTCGTGAAAAATGGGCTCCGGTTTATCATAAACAACACTTTTGGGCCGGTATGTCTAGTAGTCAAAGAAGTGAAGGGATGAATGCATTGCTAAAAATGCATGTATCAAGGAAAAATTCACTTCATGATTTCGTGATCATCTTTCAAAGGGTCTTGGCGAGACAAAGAGAGGGGGAGCTTAAAGAAGATCATTGCACAGTGGAGAAAAAGCCAAAATTGAAGACTATGTGGTCAATGGAAAAACAAATGGCTCAAATCTACACGAAAAAAATCTTTTATATTTTTCAAGACGAGCTTCAACCTAGCTTAATGTATAACATTGAGCTGGTAAAAGAAAATGAAAGAGAAAGTACTTTCAATTTGAATTTTTGTGGTCAGGATGAAAGATTGAGACATATTATATATTGCAAAACAACTAAAATGGTCCGTTGTTCGTGTCTCATGTTTGAATTCAAGGGCATTCCATGCCGACATATCTTGGCATATCTTAAACTTACCAATCATAGTGAGTTACCGGAATAATATATTCTAAGAAGATGGTGCCGAAATGTCAAAAAAAGGGTTGTTCTTAGAGATGGTAATATTATTGGAGATAATGCCACAATTAATTTTGCTTCTCGTTTTAGTGAACTAAATTGCTTAGCTAATGAAATGGTCGAAGAGGGGCTATCTTCTAATGATGCATATGAATTAATGCGTGAAATGATGATGGATGCTATTAATAAGGTGCAACGTTTGAAACTCAACAATGATGAAGAAATTGGACAAGATGTGGAAGGACATTATATGAATGCAGAGTGTTCTCAAGATATAGTCCATGAACCAAGTCAAGCAAGAACAAAAGGAAGGCCTAAAGGGAAGAGGTTAAAGCCCTCGAGAGAGATCCGCAAATTCAAACCTAGGAAATGCAAATTGTGTGGAAAGCGAGGACAAAATCATGATAGCAGAAATTGCCCTCTAAAGTTGTCAAGGTAGTGTATCATTTATTTTTCTAAACTTTTTTAAGTTGGTACAATGATCATTTAATGTTTTGTTATCATCTCTTTTTTTAGTGATTCAATGGAACAAGATAATATTGATGAAGCCACTGATGATTTAGAAGATTCCTTTGAGGAAGGTAATGGTTAATACATACAGAATAACTTGTATATTGCCATTTTTTAATATAATATGATTTTTTAATGTGATGAAGCACTTAGTTTTTAATGTTTTTCAATACAGATGAAGTTCTCACTATTGCGTGAAGTTTGATCAAGTTTGGCAGAAAGAAGATTGGCGGAAAGAAGTTTGATCAAGTTCTCACTTAGTTTGCGTGAAGCTTTGAGAACTTTGAGCCTGATACTAAGCTTTGAGAACTTTGATGGTCATATTTTGTTTGGATTTCATGGTCATATTTTGTTTGGAGCCAAGTTCATACTTTGTTCTTTTTTTTGTATTTCTGTTAATTCTGTGAATTTGGACTGAATATGCCTGCACTGGACATTCAAAGGTTGATCAGCAACTTTTATAGCTACTTGCATTTCTCAATGTGGAAGAATTGTTGTTGTAACCAGTGATGAGAAAGGTAACATTTTTTAACAGGCGTGATTCCAAAATGGTGTATCTGGGGATATTGGATTTCGCCACTGCAGTATGGATATAATGCTCTTGCAGTAAATGAATTGTTGGCTCCCAGGTGGATGAACAAAATTGTAAGTTGTTTACACTGAGAATATGACATAGCAAATGAATTGTTGGCTCCCAGGTGGATGAACAAAATTGTAAGTTGTTTACACTGAGAATATGACATAGCAAGTAGTTCTTCTTATAAGCACTCAGACTATTCAGTCTTTCATTTTGTCCAAATTGTATTCGCGTTATTGACAAGTATGTACATAATGAAAAATAGGCACCTGATGGTAGGAGATTAGGAGTTGCAGTACTTGAGAATGCCAAGACTTGCAACTGAGTGTTTATGAAGTATGGAGATTAGGAGTTGCAGTTCTTCTTATAAGCACTCAGACTATTCAGTCTTTCATTTTGTCCAAATCTCTTTAATATAATTAAAAAGCAGATGCAGCAATCTCACAAAAATGCCATATGACTCAGACATGTTCAGCAAAGCTAATTGGTCGAAAACAATGGATAAAATGGTCCAAATCCATGCTGGTGCATAATCATATGAGGGGATCAGACCCGCCTCGATGTGGTTCACGTCGGCCTCCAAATCTTTGTAATGGGAGACGACATCCCTCACCGTCTTCCTCGGGATCATGGCCGCCACCCTCTCCCACCTGTCCGGGGTCCTGCTGTCGACGTGGGCCAGCGCGTTCTCGAAGACCTTGTTCTCCTGCTGCGTCCAGCCCCCGCTTCTCTTCTCGCCCAGGATCCAGTTCGAGCTCGTGAAGTAGGACGGAGCGGCTGGGGAGAGAATCTCCATACTTGAGAATGCCAAGACTTGCAAGTAGTTCTTCTTATATACTCAGTGTTTATTATCGCTTCAACATCACAAACATGCACTAATCAAGACTAATCACAACTGAGTGTTTATGAAGGATACGTCTCAGTGCTTGGCAAATGACAACTGAGTGATATATACCTTGAAGAAGACATGCACTAATCAAGACTTGCAACAAATTAATACTATATGAAACCTAAGACATAGGAGCAGAATAAAAGTGACGAGCCACAAATGCTCTACACGAGTTAATTCAACTGATACAAGTTGACAAGATGGATCACAAATGTGCTTAAAAGACCACATTCTAGAAAAACCAAATTTATCATATCAAATACAAATCTTACTCATCCAATAATACATTCTTACACCCTACTTAGCATAAATCCAATAAAAATACCAAATACAAATCCAAGAAAAATACCGAATAAAAGAACAAATACCAAAAGCTTCAACAATTCCATAATATCAATTTCAATCTTTCTCTTTTCCCGAACTTCTCCAATTGACACGACACTTGAAACTTGCGGGATCACGCTCGACTGCTTCCTCTGAACAAGCCCTGCCTTTGAACCTTCAAACTCCTCTTCTTCAGACACCCATTTGAAGAATCCACAATTATTCACTTTCCAATTAGCGCATCCCAAAAACAATCGACCAGAGTTCATCGTTGTTCCAGATCTGGAGAGTATAGCCCTCCTTCCACAATGACACATCAATCTATGACCAGTGCTTGAAGATGACTCCATGTACCAAAATATACAACTTTATCTTGAAACCAAATTTAGTCATGATCAGTAGGGCAAATTGAAATAGTTTGAACCTAACTACAATGCAAACGTATATTTGATTTGTGGTCTAAATTTATCAACCAAATCTGCATTCATGTAACCAAATTCAAGCAAAATGACCAACATAACAATTGAAATCCAACAACCAATCAAATTCAAGCTTCTGGCACCTTTATATTATACTTAAATAACCTCTCTTTAAAGTTCTCTACAACTACACAACCTAAGAAACTAAAGTTCTCCACAGCTTTGATGACAAGCAGACATCTGAAAACATGAAAGCTTATGCACCGTATAACACACTTCATGTTCAGGTAAAAATTAGCTTAAAAATCTTTAAAAGTAATACATGATCGCTGATAAATCTGTCAATGATACATTGTTGTATAATCTCACTCTTCACTTTGTTTCTCTGATTCTCTCGGATAAGAAACAATACTTGCATATAGTAATTGTTTGATTTAGACTTTTTTGTGGCATTCGATCAAACAGGTAACGATCCTGGCTTAATAATTTGAGCACCCAACATCCATTTGCAGTATAATTTGAGCACCCAATTTAAAATAAAAAATATCCTTAGGACTGTGGCATTTGATCAAACAGGTAACGATCTTGGCTTAAAAATTCCAGCATTGTAAAGAAAAAAAATAGGGGTTGGTTATTACCTGCGTCGGCGAGAGAGAGGGAGTCTCTGACGGTCCTGGGGTGGGGGGTCTACGACGGGTGGGGGGTCTGCGACGGTGTCTTCGACGCCGGCGAGAGAGAGGGAGGAGGATCTTCGACGGTCTTGGGGTTGGGAACCTTCGACGGGGTTGACGGGATCTTCGATGCGGCTTAATGGCGGAGGAGGAGGTCGCCACCAACAAATGTTCCTCGGCGGTGAAGCTTGGGGTGACGATCCTGGGTTGGGGAAAATCCGACGTGGTCGAGGGGGTCTTCGGCGGGGCTTAATGGCGGACTTCGGCTGGGCTTAAAGGCGGAGGTCGACGGGGTTTAATGGCGGAGGTCGACGGGGTCTTCGGAGGTGAAGCTTGGGTGACGAGGAAGAGAGGGAGAGGGAGGAGGGGTCTTCGGAGGTGAAGCTGGAGTACAGCTGGGTGACGAGAGATCAATAAATGACCTGGGGAATTGTTACTTTAATCTCCACCATTCGTTCGCATCCGACAGTTTACGGAAGTTTTCGTATTGCTGTGCGAAAATTTTGTTCGCATCCGAAAATTTCTCTATATGCTGGGTGACGAGAGATCAATAAATGACCTGGGGAATTGTTACTTTAATCTCCACCATTCGTTCGCATCCGACAGTTTACGGAAGTTTTCGTATTGCTGTGCGAAAATTTTGTTCGCATCCGAAAATTTCTCTATAT